TGAAGAAACTGCGTGTCGGTGTTTCCATAGTGAAAAAAGGCTTCGAAAAAACGTTAAAAAGGGGGCTGGACGTAAATGAAACCAGAAAAATAAAGAAGGGTGGGGCGTCCGGACGAGCTAAATAGTGTGTTTCACTGCGCGCGTGTGGGTCCTGATGCGAAGAACAGACAATGGTAAGCAAAAATTCATTCACTTATAAGCGTAAATAAACAAAAAAAACCCTAGTAACAGCAAAAGTGGCTCACCTTTTTCAGCTTCTAAGAGTAGGAAATTAAATAAGAGATTGCGGCAGCAAAAAGAAAAACAGAGGAAAAAAGAATGGGAGAAAAACATCGCCTCATCACTCGGCGATTAGCTGATTGTGCATGGGTCCTGGAACGAATAATAGCAATCTGTAATGTCTCGACACTCGTCTAACGTGACACCGGTCGAGGGGCGGAAACGCGAACGACGGCAACAACGGGGCTGCCACTATGCCCTGGACGTCGAGATTGGGGGAGTGAGAGGGTCCCTTCTACAACCCATGGGGGCCGCTGAGTATTAATAAAGTAAGAACTCAATAACTTTTTTATCGTGAACGGTGCCTTTAACCGTAAAGTCTTCTATAAAGCCAGGTTTATAGATCCTCTCGAAATAAATGCATTATAGCTGTGGCATGGGCGACGACTTGTGTCCTCCATGGCTTTTCAAATTCTTCCCGGCTACATTATTTCATCAGTTATCGCTCTTAGAAAAGATGTGGAGATCAGAGAACTTGAGGGTGGAGGAATCATGTTCAGGGTGACTGAGTAGGTTCATCCAATTCCTCATTCATTAATATTGTTTCATGACCAGTGATAACAGTCTTTCCAGTAAAAAACTATAAGTCCAAAAAATCCGTTCTATTCCAATCGAAGTCATTTCAGCGAAAAGGTCAAAAAGGGCTTTTACAAATTGGCCGCTCTAATCTTAGCAGTCAACAGTATATATCTGGTAGTTGTGTACTGTTATCTGTTTTATATTCTTCGGAAACGGCACAAAGCGCAGTTGAAGGTTTGTAAAGACGGAGTTAGAAGTCGGTTTGAAGAAACTAAACGAATATTCAAGAAAAAAAAGGGGACGAAGCGTGTCCGTGAGCAGAATTCAATAGATATGTATAGAGCAGGTAAGATTACTGTTGGAACTGGTACTCTTAGTGGTATATCTGTCTTCAGTGGGTTCCATTGGTCTAGCCGAATTCTCACGGCAAGCGGTAGCGCCACAATTCTATATTTCTCTCAAAACAACTCTTTCCCCGATCGCGCCTCCATGTGAACTCTTGTATTTAGTTCTCTGAACTCACATAACATTCAAGTAGTCTCAACCTTGCTTTTGGGAGTGTAGCAAATAAAGTTGTGATAAAAAAGGCAGGTTGCTCTCAAAGGCTTCAAATCCTCCCCAAACTTCATTTCATCCAGTACCAATCACGGAGAAGCTCAATTCCAACCGAAAACGACCTAACACATACTCTCCGCTGACGGAAGACCCATTCCACCTGAAATCATCATATTAATAGTGAGTGAAATAGATCTGGCTCGGTAGTACATTGCGCAATGCAGCCATCAATGGCAACGGCATCGATCCCTGGTGATGAAAAGGAACGAACACTTGTAACAGAATATTTCTGAGCTTCTGGGGGTTTTTTTTCAGTCATGTGGATCGAATCAATTTGTTGCTTCCATTTTGGAGCAGATTTTGT